GGGCCATCGCGACCCCACCACAAACTTGCCTTTCTCCGTTACTTGCGGCGTGCCCAGACTGGGTTGCCCACAAACGTGATCCAAATTAACTTCCACGTCAGCAGAGCAAACTTGGTATGAGAGAATTATTAAGGTTGGAAAAGACCTTTAAGATCATCGAATCCAACGCTTAACCCAGCACTGCCAGTTCCACCACTAAATCATGTCCCCGAGCACCACATCTTTACAGCTTTTAAACATCTCCAGGGATGGCGACTCCACCACTTCCCTGGGCAGCCTGTGCCAGTGCTTCACAACCCTTTTGGTGAAGAACTTTTTCCTAATATTCAGTCTAAACCTCTTCTCCACCAAGTTGAGGTCATCCCCTCTTGTCCTATCACTCGTTACTTCGGAGAAGAGACCAACATCTACCTCTTGACTAGCACCAACCAAAAAAACGGTTCCTAGTTGACACTACCAGAAATACCCTATCGCTGAGGGCTCTCCTAGTGCTGTCACACTGTGACCTTTCCTTTAGTCTTTTTCGTTTATTCAAGGAATCCCAGAATGGTTTGGGTTAGAAGGGAACTTACACCAGAGAGGACAATCCCTAGATGAGAGGGATGCTGTGAAGATCCAGGTGTTGTTCACACACAACACCAAGTCCTTTGGACAGCAGAAGTGGCAGGACAGGAGGCACAACGCCCCTCACCAAGCCTGGGAAACCAGCAGGAGCACTGCAAATGCCAAGGGACACCGCCGGGTTCGCAGGCAGCACCACGTAACCTCTCCCCCTTTCTTCACAAAGCAGGCAAGGACCTGTCACATTTCATCGTGACACACGTTACAATCTCCAGTGGGTTCAGCATGTTGCTCACCGTTAATGGAAGTAGAAAACACAAGAAGATCTGAGCTGTTAATCTCTAATGCAAGGGAAAAAACCATCCAAACGGGGTTAAGCATGAATGAACCTGTGAATTCCTGTCCTCAAGCATGCCGCCTTTATCACTGCCCCTCTTGTAGTTACTAGTTAACAGCCACAGACTCTTTATCTGCGTGGATCAGCCTCCAAAACAGAGCTTTAATTTTTACATTTTACTGGCATGTTTCCCAGATGGGGACATTCTTGCATGTGAAACAGCCATACAGGAATCCATCCCCTCCTCGACACACAGCTCCTTCACTCAGTTTCTCACTGCCGGCCTTCTGGAGGTCATCCCCTCTTCCTTTACGGAAGGTCTCGCTTAGCTTGAACCACGTTTTAAAGTGCAGGCCCGTGGTGAAAGATGGACTTGAATTCACATGCTTTTTCTACACTTGCATATTATTACCAGAAATAGTAATCCAGAACAGTCAGCTACTGATGAGCTGAGGAGGGCGAATAAAGCACAGCATTCAAGGCTCAGAGCTCCCCCTCAACAGCCACGGGAGACCCAGGCGGACTGTTTTCCCCGAGGTGAATTCCCTCGGCAAGGTCCTCGGCCATGCCAACCACTTCAGGTCACATTATGAAGTATCAGCTCGCACTCGCAGAGCAGTGAAGGCTCCCAGAGGTCCCACAATAGAAGAGGGAGAACTAGTCTGCTCGGAGGAAGACCGTTGTCCACAGACAGACACAAACCCCACACTCCACTCGGAAAAGTTACTTCCCATTTGTGCTGTACCGGGCTCCCGGCATGGAACTCACAGATTCTTAGTTTAAGGGTAGAAAGAAAAATTAGGTCAACCTGACTGATCCCCACTATGTCACATGCCCTTACCTTTACCCTACCAAGAGGATAAAACCTCCATCCGAGTCTAGCCAAGGGGAAGAGAAGCCAACACTTCACCAGAAGCTCATTTCAGTTGTTAACCCCCATCACAGACAAGCTATGTGTGAATCCCTCTAGTTGTGGGCACCAGTCAGCAGTTCCTTCAAAGGGCCCTGCAATCCATCAGGAAAAGCTGAAACACCCGTCGGGAAAAGCTGAAACACCCGGTGTGCTGGGACGCTGCTTTGAGCAAACGGAAAGAATTGCTTCCCAGGTTAAGGGCTGTAACAAATCTCACCATCTTTGGTCAGAACTGTCAGTTGCAGTTCTTTGCCTTTGGCTTGTTCAACATAAATATATACCTACATGTATGAAATTAAAACAAACAGACAGAAATCCCCAGCACTAAACCAAGATGCTATTCTCCCCACGGAGAGAATAAGAGTACAACCAAGTGGCAGATGCAAGCCCTGTTCCTTAAGGCACTCGTGAAAGGTGTTTGGATATCAGCAGCAATAAGCACTCAATAAAATCACATACATAGCACAGCCCTGGATATGCACCCATGCAGTATCTTCCCAGCTTTCTGACAATTTCTGTCATTCTTCCACGTAACTGTTCCAATTTTCTCTACATTACTTCAAGATGCTGGGACCAGAAAGCCACGCTGATGTTAAGACCGATCCTGAAGTAAATGTAAGGGTTACAGACATCAAACTACCTCTTCACCCCGATTCATTACCTCCCCATTCGTGTGTCCAAAACCATGGTGGTCTTTTCCAGCTAGGACCTGGCACAGAAAGCTCCCCGGAGCCGCCTGCCCCTTGCAAAGCCACGTTCTCACGCAGGACTGCTCGGGACACAGACTCCCATCACGTATCGCGTTTGGGACGTGTCTTCCCAGGTTCGTAACTCTCCACTTGTCTGCAGGAAAACGATTTTGTTCCGACGGCTCCATTTACCGAACAAACTGCCTTACTCCCTCCTG